TTGATGTACAAAATAAAGATAACGTTTCTTCCAACATTGACTCTGTCTTTATTGAAAAAAAACTGGGGGAGACTGGGAAAAGGAGGTGGGAGAGGGGAAGAGAAAGGCTGGGAGAGGGGAGGGCAACTAACATGATCAGGGGTTGGGAACAGGTCCCAGATGAAGAGAGGCTACAGAGACTGGGACTGTTCAGCTTAGAAAAGAGGAGACCCTGGGTCTACTGGAGAACCAGAGAATGATCATTTCTAAGGTTCATGTATTCCCTGGCTCCTTTTGTTGGAAGTATGTGTTCCGTTGATGGTTCCCGCAGTTTGCAAACCCCAATCCTTTGAAATTCTGTTATAATTTTATAGATTTGGGTAAAAGTAACCCCCTTGCATAGCTAGATTACAATAGTTATAGCCTGGCAACCTGTAAAAAAGGTGCCTCGGTAGTGCATTTCTGGACCCCATAGTGGCAGCTAACTGATGGGTAGCTGCCAGGTGTTGTCAGATTCCCAAAGTCAATAGCCACACACTTCTGTACTGGTATGGATTTCCAAAATCAAACGGTCCATCACTGACGGGTTGGTGAAAGCTGCTCTACAACTCAGTGGAAGTCTGCTTCCTTAGTATGAAGTGCTGCCACCTCTCATCATTATTTCAGGTTCCAAGACAATGTGGTCCTACCACACTGTTCTGGTTCGCTGGGACCAGAAGCAGCAGCCCACCCATAGGCATGTCATTGCTATCCTGATAGCAAAAAACGTTTGTTATATGGGATACAAGTGGATGGTCATTTTCCTTGAAGGTCAGATGTCTTCCTTGTCTGACAGCACTCGGGACTGATTCCATCTGGTACCTGCTACTGCACTGGATGAATATTAGTCCTGCGAGCAAGAACATAACCACAGCTTTGTGGACTTATTCAATGCCTTCAACACAGTTTGGCAGAAGAGAGAGATGAGTGGGAGTAGCAGTCATCAAATGCATGAAGGCAGCATATGTTATGAGCAACATTTAGCAAGGCGGTTCCTAGATTGTCTCCTGTGACACACAGGATTTCCAGAAGCCATCCCTGAAATTTTACCAATAAGGTTTCATACTAAATAAGGGGAAGCGTGGATGCAGGTCTATACCTGTGTACATTGTAGACCCATGCCCAGCATGGTATACAGGGATGCTCAGCACAGGTATGGTGTACATGCTGTAGCAACACATGCACAAATAACCATGTGCACTGGCTTGTGTAGTGGTAGCCTTAAAGTCCAGAAGTGAAACCATATGAGTGGATCTTTGGGAGGATGTACTTATAAATAAAATACTACTCTACACACACCTCTTCTCCAGCTGCCAGCTAGACAAGCATATCTCAGGGAAAACAAGGCTTGCTAACAGCTGGTTGAATCACTCAGGCATTTATTCCTATTTGTTGTGAAGTTAGTTCTTTTTCAGTTTTTCTTTTTGGAAGTCACTTGCAAATTGATTTTGATTTCTGGCATTGTATTTGTAGCATCAGATCCAAGATTGGATTTGTGCAGCTTCATGCTGCTCTGTGGTGCAAAGTTGTCCCAAATACAGTGTACCTGGACAGAGAAAGATTTTTTAAAATGTAGGAAAATGGTTTTAGTCCCCCTCCCCATAGTGGCATGGTCAGGGAAAAGGAGCAGTTGCTAAGGTGGCCCCATGGCCACCTTAATGGCAGAAGCCATTTGAAAAGACTAACTGCAATTTTTATTGGTCCTACCAAACCAGTGAAAAGCGTTGAATGTTCTTCAATGCCGTCTACTGGCACCTTAGCTGTTAACTGTTTAAATATATACAAAACCAGAGTATTCTCTTTACAGGAACTGGCTGCTCTAACAGGCACCCTGGGACTAAACCACACAGCCACCTCAGTATTGATAGAGTGAGATGTGTTGTCAGGTCTAGCTGAGAAATGCAGGCCATAATCTGTAACCATTCACCCAATAGTTTGAGCAAACAATTTAGTTCATTTTGACTATCATTATTTATGGTACGTGATGAGTTATCTTAGTCACCTGGTTTTGTTTCTGCTTCAGAACTGGCTGATAATTTTTTTAAATAGGAGAAAGATAAACAGGGATTAGCACACCATATTTATTTAACATTTGAAAACATTCTCATGGATATCTGATAGTCATACACCACTGAAAAATTAATTACATCTATGACAAATCACTTTCCTTGCTGGAATGAATCACCCCCCCCTGTTTATGCACATACTATGACTGTGTTTTCATTATTCAGCCAGTACTTTTAATGTGTTTCGATTAGATCTAAGAGTAATAGTTTTCCAAGAAACATTACAGAGTACCTGAAATTCATCTGAAACTAAACTGGATGGTGAAATAGGGGGCGAAGGGGGAGGGGGAGAAAATGGGATGTCAGTTGTCAATGACAGCTTGTCTTCTAAATAATATTCTTATTTCTCTTCCCAAAGACCATTTTTTCCTCCTCTACCCAGTCCTCCTGACTAGTGTTCAAAAGAGGCCAAAGTCCAAAATGTGTCAAAGAGATCAAAGAAACAACAGACAGTACTATGCAGCACTTTAAAGACTAACAAGATGGTTTATTATGTGATGAGATTTCATGGGCTCATCATCTAATAAACCATCTTGTTAGTCTTTAAAGGGCTGCATAGTCCTGTCTTTTGTTTCAGCAAGACCATACTAACACGGCTACATCTCTATTACTAAAGAAACAACAGGCACTGTCGTGAACAGCAGGTGTAACAAAAGTGTTAACAAAAGTGAAGCTTTCTAGCTATTTCCTATGGGCTGTTTGCTTTATTTCCCCTGTTGTCCTTACTTTATCAGCTTTGTGGGAGTGATTTTGCTTTCTGCATGTTTTTAATATTGCTACATACTGCAGTGCTTCATAAATCCTGAATAGTAATTAAGTGAAGACCATATTGGAGCTTTAAGCAAGTGAAGGTCAGTTCTGTACCAGAAGTAACTCCTAGAATCATTGTGTAGGCCTTATCTGTTCCAGTAAGGGTTTGCTAATATATCCATAGCGGCGAACCCTCCTAGAGTAGAAGTAGCTTACGTCAGAGGTAGCATAAAAGAGTTATTTCCCTAAATAAAATATGCCATACTGGCAAAAACTTCTTTTTATCTGACATAACTGCCTGGATTCTAGGTCTTTTGCAGGAATAAAATGTAAAAACAGTCATAACTTTAAAGGATGTTGCTATTTTGGCAAAAGTTTCTAATGTAGACCAGGCTTCAGCATACTATCTATGGGAGTGCTGCAGAGAACAAGCCCTGACTACTGCTACACCTTTTAATAGAGAGCAGCATGATTTTCCCCATGCTGGCAGTATGCTTGCATTCCTTGCAATATCATTCGAAGTTTCTAGTGGTGGAGAGAGACCTCACTTTTCCACGTCCTCCTGGGCCACTAGAATTGTGATATTGTATGATGCCTTTTTATGGAGAAAGGCACTTTGAATCTACTTTTTGCCTCACATGTGTCTTTGCATTTCAAAATGCAGTTGATCATAGGGGAAAAATCCACAGACCATCTCTACCTATGCATAACTAAATGCTTTTGTAAGCGTTGTAGAAAGAAGCTGTACTACTGAGACTCAGTCTATGACAGTAGCTAAAACATGTCTTCAAGAAGAAAATATCTGTAAGTAGAATACAAGGAAATACATTTTAATTCCTGGGAACTGTGTAGACTACTCCAGCTTTGGCAAAATTAGTATTCTTTACTTGGCCTGCTTACTATCCATTTTGTATTCAAAACACATATTCAACCCATCCGTTATTTTCAAGTAATTACTGGCAACCAGACATCTTCCTTTCAGTGGTCACAAAAGTGAGAATGGGGTTCCTTTACATCATTTCCCATTGCTATGTGACTGCACTATGGTTTTTTTGTTCATTTTTTGATCTTTTTGACAAGAATAAGATTTTAATTGTCTTGCGTGAAAGGTTTGGTGTGAACTTTGCTCAGCTTAGATCAAGTAAAGAGGTTTGCATTTTCTTCACTGTTTGCTAAGCCTTAGTTTCTAATACTGATGTATTCCAAGGCAGCTCTCTATTTTGACCTTTTCATTAGTAGTAATTTGAGTAGCTGTTAACTTCTGTCTCTTCTTTCTACACCTGTAGACCTGTGAGAGACAGAATGGATATCCAGATAGAATATAGATTGCTTACAAATTTTTTACCATACAATACCTTGTTCACCACATCTTGCTATTATGACTTATACTGAAATAGTGTCTAGTGATGCCAATCAGGGGAGCACCACCATTAGATTCCCTACAAATGAACAGAACAAAACCCAATTCTTGCTTCAGAGAGTTTAAAGTCTAGGATTATGACAAGATATAAGAGATGGAGTAGCAGTCCTAAATAGGGCAGGGGGACCAGATAATATTAAAGATGCATATGTTTGCATGTCAGTAATCTCACTGGTGAAAGTAGTTATCATGTAAAATGACTATATAGAGGCCACGGAAAGTTTTTATCAAAACAGTTTTTCATCAGCAATACTAAAATTATTTTTGTCAAATGCTATGGATTTTAATTAAATTTTATTTTGAAAAAATTGAAAAAATAAAAAAGGACAAAACATCTCTTTTTGACATTTGCAGAACAAAAAGTTTCAATTTTTGTTTCAAAATGACCTTGTTTAAAAATACTTTATTTTAAATCTAAATTGAAACAAAACATTTTGAATGTATCAAAACAAATATTTTGAATGACCTATAAAAATGTTTTTAGAATTTTGTTTTGTAAAGAACGTTAAACTTGCTTTATGTCAAAAAGAACTTGCTATCCAGCTTTGCTGTTGGCTCCAGGAGGTTGATTGTAACAGAAAAGGGGAAGACAATGTGATCTGTTAAGGATAAAAAAAATGATAACCTCATCATTTATGCTCTTCTATTAGATTTTCACTATTCACTGCTCAGAATGCATTACCTTTCCAGGAGATACTTGCACATTTTACTCAACAAAGTTTCTGTTTAAAATGATGTTTTGTGGCAAAAGGTTGGTGAAAAAGGTAAGAGATATCATGTAAATATTCATTTTAATCCAAGGAGCACAAAAAGTTTTTGTGACTCAAGAAAAAAGACCATAAAAATGCAATGGAAAATAATCCCAGAGACATCAACTCTCCGTCTTGGGCCGGTAAGTTTTACACTAGAAAAGAATGCAGAGATGAGAAGCAATGAATACAAATTATGAAAAATCTAATGTCTGTCATTAATTTTTTTAGCCTGTAAGAGAAAATCAACAGTTTGTAAATATCAATTACAAGGCAGAATGAATACATTGAGAAGACATTGATTTTTTTTTTAAAAATAGGTTTACAACTAATAGACTGTTTCATATATAAATTCTAGCACATAGAATCATGCAATGGAAAATATTTGTTTAAATATTGTTCAAATACACAGTAAATGTTGATAGTAAATAAGTCAAGCATGAAGTATGATCTGAGAAGTAAATCGAGACGTGTCAGTATAATCCAAAGTCCATGTATATAGACACATGCCTACCAAAGGTACTTGCATAAGCAAATTTCCCTCCACCCATTTTCTTACAATCTTCATTGCCCACAGAATTTTATTCTCCTCACTCATTTTTCCATTTTACTCTTCCTCACCCTCAAAACTCTGTGTCATGATGATTGACGTGCTATTTCAGTGAGGGCATCTCTTTGACTTCTTATCTTAACAATGTTTTTCCAGTTGCTTGTTTTTTGCTTGCATTTTGTTTTATAGTTGAAATAGGCTACCGGTCATCAATAGCAACAAGAAAAAAAATCAATTGTTTCTCAATGAATCCAACTGCCTCTCTACATGGTATTTTGAAATTGCTCATTATGCTTTTGCTGTCAAAAGAAATATGCAAAATAATTTCTGGGCATCAAAGGTCAAAAATAAAAAGGCTATATGGTTCAAGTGACTATGTGATAAGGCAGCCATTTCCTTCTCATTATTCCTAGTTCAGTAGAAACACCAGTTATGAAATGAGCAGTGAGCCATACACCTTATTTGGAACCAAAAGTATGCAATCATTCAGGAGTTGAAAGATAATGTAAATACTGTACAGTACCTTGCTAAACATAAACTACTAAAAATTAAAGAGAAAGTTAAAAGAAAATTTTTTTTGCCAATGTAAGGAAACCACTTCTCTGCTTATTTCATTTAAATTAAGATAGTTAAAGGCAGCATTTTTCTTCTGTGTAATAAAGTATCAAAGCCGTATTGAGCCAATGTTGAGCTGAAAATTTTTGAAAGAACAACCATAATTTTTTGTTCAGAGTTATGCACATTTCCGGGTTATGAACAACCTCCATTTTCCTAGACTCTTGTGAGGATGCTTGGCCGGGTGAAAATGCCATCTTAATTGCTAGGACTGGTTGAATATTTTTCATCAAAACTGTTTTTCTGCCGGAAAATTGTACTGTCAACCTACCTTTTTTATTGCAAATATGTCTGTTTTCGTAGAAAATTGTTATTTCTTTGAAAAATCCAATGTCACATAGCCAGGTATTTCTCTGAGGTATTCCCTCACTCCACCAAGGGGGAGAGGAAAAGGTGGATCACAGGAGATGTGGTCCAGCATCCAGGAACCCTGGCCCATGGAAAAAGAATGGGAGCATTAGGCACCTGAACTACAACTCATCATCATTTGGAATAAAAATATTTTAATTTTCAATATTTTGATAAAAAAATTCACAAAAATGTTTATGAACATTACAAAATTAAAATACAATTTATTTTTGTCCATTATTTCCATGGAGAAAAAATATTTTTTCTTCATGGTGGATTTGTAGCATACTATGCCTTGCAGAGACCTGATAGAGGTATACACCAGCAAAACCAGGCTCCAGCTGAAGTCCCAAACAAATGATCCCTGAGTAAGCTGCAGTAAAAATACAGTTTGAACCACCAGGATTGTTTCTCTTCATATGTATCTGTGTCTACCACCAAACCAAGGAGATTAGACTATTTCTAATTTGGTTACTAACATTGAGAATCAGTTATTCCTGTGTGGGTGCATCTACACAGCAGGGCTTAACTCGAAATAAGCTACACAAATTGAGCTATGTCAATTGCACAGTTTATTTTGAAACAGCTTATTTCAAAATTAGGAGTGTCTACACAGCACTTATTTTTAAACAGAGCACTCTTCCTCCAAAATCCCTTACTCCTTGTGCAATGAGGATTGCAGTAGTTGGAGTAAGAAGTCCTCCAGCTTAACAGAATTTTGACATTATTTTGAAATAATTGCTTGATGTGTAGATGCGGACTAAGTTATTTTGAAACAATGCTAGTTATTTCAAATAATGTTTCTGTGTAAACATACCCAGTGATATGTGAGAATAACCAGTGCTGAAGTGAAAGCAACAGTTCAAAATGTACACATGGATAATAACCCTGCCAGAATATGAAGCTATTACAGTCTTTTAAAATTGGTCTTGTGTGACTCCTACTTGATGGTTTTGTTAATTAATCCCATGCGATGTCTGAGGTGTGTGTGTATGTGTGTGAAATTGGTACACACCTATACGTTGTGCATAGGCAAGTAGAAAAGAGCAACACATGGTCCATGATTTCCTATTACCATTTGTTATTTCTTAATTTTATATTCTTTTTTTTCCTCTCTGAACACTTTGTTTGTTATTTATGGCAAGCAGCATGGCTGAATGCCATCCCGTGGGAGATGGTGAATTTATATCCATAGTGTGTGAATTTATGAAGTTGGAAGGAAGTATTATTTTGTGCTAACTCTTTGGCATGTTTAATTGTGAATAATGGTTGGTCCTTAACAGAAGATGTATTCAAAGTGGGTCAGGTTTTTTTTAACTAGTCTGAAATAGGACACTGTCATATGAATGCTCAGCAGCCAGAATTTTGTGATGATACAAATATAGTTCTCACTGGAGATTACTAGAACCGATTCACGCCATTTCTGAGAAGCACAGAAGAGAGTAAAAGAGAGAGCAAGAAAATGTCATCATTGAAACAATGGATTACAAACACATCTATCTAGCTATCTAGCTAGTCATTAGCTGTATGCAGTGCTGCTGTAGTCATATGGGTCCCATAATATCAGAAAGAGAAGATGGGTCAGGTAGTATTTTATTTGACCAACTTCTGTGGGTGAGAGAGACGAGTTTTCAATTGGTGTGTCAATGTAACAATCTAAGGCAACATCTACACTGGCAGCTTCCTGTGCAAGAACTCTTTTGCGGAAGAGTTCTTGTGCAAAAACTCTTCCAGAAGAGAACGTCTACACTGGCATCTGCTTTTGCGCAAGAGCATCCATGCCAGTGTAGATGCTCTCTTATTCAAGAAAGCTCTGATGGCCATTTTAGCCATAGGACTTTCTTGCACAAGAAATTCATGTTGCCTATCTACACTGGCCTCTTGCGCAAGAACAGTAGCACAAAAGGGCTTATTCCTGAGCAGGAGTGTCAGAGTCGTGGTGCAAGAAGTCCTGATTTCATACATTGGAACGTCAGTTTACTTGCGCAAGAACACGCAGCCAATGTAGACAGGCAGCAAGTTTTTGCACAAGAGCGGCCGCTTTTGAGCAAGATCGCGCCAGTGTAGACATAGCCTATGTGTTTGGCTGACTCTTGTTCTGTAGATATATAGAATATGACCCCCTAACTAGTGAGCCTTAAGTACAACAAATAAGAAGGTCTATGTAGGTGTTTTAGCAAGTTAGGTTTATTTAGTGTAGAGCCAACTTCATGACCAGCTGGTCCTGCAACTCTTCACTAGTGATGAAGAAACACAAAGTAATTTAGAGTTTATTGCCTCAAACATTTTTATCAGGTTCCTCATAAATGAAAACACTGACTCTATTGGTAGGCTAAGCATTAAAATGAACATTATACCTACAATTTACCATGAAAAAAAGGAAAACCCCCCAATAATTTTAAAATATATAGCTTTTAGTTTTGACAGAATGCGGAGGAGCAAAAGCAGTAGTAGATTTTATGTCTCTTAAGTAGTGGTGTTGAAATGAAGCTCCTGCAGACCATTTAAAAGAAAAAGGAATTCTCAGTGGAGAGCTTATTTTAGGAAATCATCTGAAGAGCAGAACTCAGAACGCCCACAAACACAGCAATATTTTTTCACTTTATTCCAGGAACTCAGACACCTGCTCTGCTATGAAATAACTGTGAGCTGGGTTAGCATTCTGAGTATCTTTGACATGCAAATGAATACACCAAATCCACTTGAAAGAGGGCAACTAGATTTTATGGCCACCAAACTGGTGCAATTCAAAATGCATTCTAGGGACAAAGAAACCACTATAGATACATGCAAATGGGAATGGCTGAATGCCAAAGAGCAGCATGAGGAGTTTGAAAGATTACATAAAAAAGAAAAATACTTTTAGTGGATACTTTTATCAAAGGCACTTTCTAAAACTGAGACATCTACAAATTAAGATTTGAGTCAATTTCAGAAATCTTACGTTAAGAAATTTTGCAAGGGCTGGCATTGCTTATATCCTCGTTTTTCAGTCATGAGAAAGGATAATACACATGTTAAGCTTTCATACTTCAGGGAAGGGGAGTCTCTAATAAACCAAGGAATTTACACTGGTCTATGCTACGTATTCAATGTTAACATTTTGTTATACTTATATATTATATTACTACAGTGAAATATTAAATGCAAATTTAAGCACTTATATGTTAAGAAACAGAGATTTATCTGCCTAGATTCCCTGCTACAGTTGACCAGTGATTAGCTAACATGTTTTAAAAGGTGTTAAACAAGGTCTGTACAAGGTGCTGAGTAATGACTTTTAAAATGTTAATTAAAATGTTAATGTACATGTTTCAAAACACCACTAAGTCTGTCTTCACATACTTTTACGTAAATGTTTACATTGCCCTTTCAAAATATCAAAAGAGAAACGTATTCTGTCCATTTAAGCTTGGGATTGCTCAGGGCTTTGAAAGCAATACTGATCTACCTTCCATGAAAATGGTTTTCAAAATAAGCTTTCCCATTCAGTGGGATTTTAAAGAATTAAAAGGAGTTAACACCTTATTGCAAATCTTTGCAAGAAGCACGGGGTTAAACACTCACTACAGTAAACTTCCGATAATCCGGCACCTTTAGGACCCAGGGGATGCTGGATTATCAGATATGCCGGACTATCGGAAGGGGGGGCAATGAGGGGTCTGGGGTGTGTGGGGGGATGCCACCCCAGACCCCTCATAGTCCCCCCTTCCGATAGTCCGGCTCTGCCCCAGGCGTCCCTGATTCAGCTGCTGCTGGTCAGTTTCAGCAGCC